TTAGAACAAAATTGTTTTGCTGGTCCTCCAGATTTTCAGGAATACTGCTTAGGGCCTGGATTGGGTCCAGCAGCAGCCAGATAGACGTTTTCCTCACTATCTCCTTTTCCCAAACTTACTTGTATTTGGCAGTGGAAAGGGTTTGTGGCACAGTAGTTAATATCCAAACATAGTTGTGCAACCTATTTCGGTCAAAGTGCTGGCTGACTTTATGTTGTGAGCAGTGCAGAGCTATTGCTTATTGGTGCTGCCTGCCAAAATGCTGACCAATTTCTAATTCATTTGGTGCCTGGCCAGTTGGTCAGAAGATGTCAAGGCTGGATTCAGAGGAGTGGTGGGAGGCACCACCTGAAGAACCCCCAAGGGAACTCCCAGGAAGAAGAAAGAAGAAGAAGAAGAAAGAAGAGTTTGGATTTGATATCCCGCCTTTCACTCCCCTTCAGGAGTCTCAAAGCGGCTAACAATCTCCTTTCCCTTCCTCCCCCACAACAAACACTCTGTGAGGTGAGTGGGGCTGAGAGACTTCAAAGAAATGTGACTGGCCCAAGGTCACCCAGCAGCTGCATGTGGAGGAGCGGAGATGCGAACCCGGTTACCCAGATTACGTGACTACCGCTCTTAACCACTACACCACACTGGTTCAGATCCAGGGGCTTGGTAGTGGGATGACGAGGTGTCGGAAGCTGAAGAGGCGACAGGTTTAAGTGAGCAGGAAGAGGCTAGGACAGAGAGCAGTCCAGAATCAGGCAGGAGAGCAGGGGGCAGGAGACGGAGATGAGGCAGGCTGCTGAAGAATCCAGGGAGTCTCCCCCTCTTGCTGTGACCAACTCCCTCCCCTTCTGGTCTCCCAGAACATGCAGCGAAATTGAGAGGGCGGAGCAAAGAGACACAAGGTGACAGAGCCTTAGTCTGCTGTGCCTTGGAAAGTGGTGGGAAGGTGGGACCTTCTGTCCTCGTAATTGTGTCATTGGGTCAAGACGTACTGGGAAGAGTTGCTGTGATCACTAGGCCTGCAGTGTTTTGGTTTCTTTGAGTAAAGAGTTCACTGACACTGCTGCTGTTGTTTTTTATTGCTGACCTACTCCTAACTCCGACTCATGACAGAAGACCAGACGAAAACCTATTAATAAACCTAGTGCTTTATTTGTAAAGTGTGTGTGTGTGTGTGTGTGTGTGTGTGTGTGTAGCTTTGGGAATTGAAAACACAGGTTCTCATTGCATATGTAATAGTGTACTGATACTTCCCTGCCTCCCAGTTCAGTGATTATGAGGCTTTGACCAGGAAAGAAACATGACGTTTCAGCAGTATTACATGTGATCTTGTGGTGGTGCCTTGTGATGAATCAGATCATGGGTCCATCTAGTTCTGCATTGCCTTCACTGACGTCAGAGTTCCCAACAGGGTTTTCTCCCAGCTGTATCTGAAACTGACAGGGATTGAACCTGGGACCCTCTACCTTCTTCTTCATTGTGTTGTGTGGTGCATACAGAATTATTATTATTATTATTATTATTATTATTATTATTATTATTACCCCAGCCACTCTGGGTGGCTTCCAGCAGAATATAAAAACATAATAAAACATCAAACATTAAAAACTTCCTGATACAGTTCCCCTATTGGATACCAAAGGGCCATGGGTGAGTGCATAATCCTTGCAGTGACTAGTGCATAGCCTGGTGTGTAAAACATGGTTCCACCTCCACGAATGGAAAACCTGCTGGCAGCTTGAGTTTGCTTTGGCTCTTTTGTTCAGCGTTTGGAAGCAGTTCTAGTTTGTGGCCATTGTATTTATGAGCTACTTAGCCTTCGCGGAGGCAGGCGATGCCCCAGTGCCCTGTGAATTCTTTAAATCTATAAAAAATAAAACCCATTTGCGAAGAATCACACTTCAGGTAGTTAGTGAAGTCTTGCTAAAACCAATATTTAGACTGTCATTTAGAAGCTAAATATAGGATCAGTTAGAATTGGAAGTTCCTTAGGCAAGGCATGTGGTGCCAAGCTAAAGTATTCCCAGGCAAAGCTGCCCAGAGAGTGCCATGTAACAGGCACATGCAAAAAGGATAGAATCACAAGGATAAAATACTTTCATCTCCCACATAATTTGATTGGAATGAGTTCTGACTATGGCATAATAGGCTATGTAACATATGCATCCCCTGTGGGAAATGAAGAGAAAATTTGCCGATAATAGTCCTCTCACCAGCAAATGGTGCTGCATTAGCTTTTAACTTTTCTATGTCAGAAAAGAAAAAGTGATGGGAAGGTTATGGACGAGAACTCTTAATATTTCTCAGGTTTTGTTTGCTTTAGGAAGAGGGCACTTTTGGGTTTGCTGTCCTGGGCATTCCAGTACACTCCTGGAAGCCACTTAAACCAGAGGCCAGGCTCATGCATCGGGCCCTGTCCCCAATGCCCCCACAACCCCTGATTCCACTTCCCCTCTCTGTTTGTTGAATGTTGAGTTCTGAAGGGAGGTACTAACCGTGGTCACATGGCTGTGATTAGAAGCCTCCCAGCAATTGGGAGCCTAATGACACTGGGGCACAGGCAAGATATTAGGGGTGGGGTTTGCATGCATGCTTCATGTTCACCCAAACACTTAGATAGTGGACCCCCCACTTTCAGACACAAAGCAGGAAGAGAAGGGAAAGAGGGTATTTTCAGTTGTAGTGATGCCTTCATGATGCTTCCTCCTCAGAGAAGCAGACCAGATGCCCACTTTGTCATTTTTTGAGGTGCCATTCAAATATGTTCTTATCCTCCCATTTTTAAAATCACTGTTCTTTTAAAACCCTGGTAGTTTAAATGTGTCGGTTGCCTCTTGTCTTTTTAAAGACATTTTTGTGCTTTTGGAATTATTTTGTTTTTGTTTATCGGGCATTCTTGATTTTGTTTTGTTTTGCTGTGGGTCACATGGGCATTCTAAGCCCTTGAGATCAGAGGCAGGGAATCTTTTCCAGCCTGTGGGCTGTATTCCTTCCTGAAAAATCTTTGCATCTCAGTGGTGGCATTCCACATTTAGACACACACACCTCCATGCAGGCAAGCAAAAGCAGGGGTGGCCTATCCTGTTTTGCCACCTGAGGCAACATGGGACTGTGCTTTTCCCTCCCCTACCTGCCGTGGCCCCCACCCTTCACTTCTGCAATCGCAATAATGTCCCCTGCCCAAACTCAGCAAGGGCCAAGAGTGCTCCACAAAGTGTTGCCATGTGCCTTCTCATTCCCGGGGGTGAGGAGGACGAGTGGCAATGCCACACTTTGGAACATCTGCCCCTCGCATTTTGGCAGTGGCAGTAGTAGGGTAATCAGGGCGCCATCTCTTGCACTTCTGATTGCCTGAGGTGGGTGCTTCACACTGCCTCATTGGTGAGCCAGCTCTGAGCAGGAGGCATTATCACAGCCAGGCAGAGCACATTCCAGCCAGGCAAAAACACTTGAAGAGATTGGGTCATTGGTGGGTGTAGCCTGGGAAGAGATGGGGTGGCTTAGGGAGAAGGTTTAGCCTTAGGCCTCTGGAGAGCTGTGTTGCTGACTTATGCAAGCCCAGTCTGTATCTCCTGAAGTAGAGTTTTAATTTTCCCTTGATGGATTCATATTTTCTAGAGAATAGAACTTCTGAATATTCTTGCATTGCAACTGAGTCAAGCTGCCTCTTGTTTCCTTTTTAAACTAATGAAATGGGAAAGTTTGTTGTCGTGGACTTGCTGGTTTGGTGCATATGGACCTGTAGCACAGTGCAAAGGGAGGATGTGGAATGAGATAGTGGCTTACCTGTGGGAAGGAAGAAAGGTTTCCATAGAAAGTTTTCAGAAGCAATGGACTTTGTATTTACAATTGTGGAACAGATGTAAACCAACCAAGTTGACACCTATTAATATTTTGACAATGTCAATCATTATGTATTGGAAGCAATGCATTGTTCTCAAAGGCTACTGTTTTTAATTCATCAATAATATTTTATTTTTCATTTGCTTGTTTGTTTATCCATCTATCTATATAACTGAAAACCAAAGCCTAAAATGAAAGCGACTCAGAAACATGCAGTGAGCTCAAGCTGGTAGTTAAAATGTCAAATAACATTGGATGTCCTGTTTATATTAAAAAAATAGGAGCAAACTTTTGAATACATTGAAGTAAGAAATGTAGGTTGCTTTTTCATACTGAATATGCTTAATTTCTCTTTTTACCATGTTCTGCCACAGCATTATTGTTATTTAGTAAACATTATTGTTATTGCTAAAACCTGTAAACAGCTTACACAAAATATACATTAAATTGCTGATAAAACAGATAAATATTAGATAAGATATACACATCAAATTTCTGCTGCACGTTTTCCCTAGTTAGCGAAGAAGTGGTGCAAGCATATCGAAAGCTATGCTTTGGGGCAGCTGCACTAGGAGCAGATGAAGCTGCCTCTGGTGTGTCTTTCAAGAAAATTGAAGGACAGACTTTGGCACAGCAGGAGATTCTGGCTTTTGCTGCAGGTACAGAGATCGTGATCCTCCCCCATAACAAACCATCACAAAAGCTGCTTGCGCAGTTGCACAAAGTGAGACAGCCTGTACGTTCAACAGTTCCATATGTAGTCTGCAGGGCACCGAGGGCTCTGTCTTCAACGAGTCTTTAGAAAGAACTGTTGCAAGTTGTAACCTTTTATGGTTCTTTATTTAAGTTGTCAATTTTTATATGGGACAAGCTGTTAAAATTTTATATAGTTTGGTTTTTTATTCCCATTTCACTTTCTTTATCATCATCACAATTCCCCAGCATCGGTCCTGTTTTAGAAGTGTCTCTGCATTTTAGACAGAAGGCTTGCCCGAAATGAATTCGCCACTTAAGGGGGGGGGTTAATCCCAGCTACAAATCCAGTCCTCTTTCTCAGCTGGTATAACTTGCTCGACACATTTATGAAATGCCGTAAGCCCTCCTCTCCCTAAGCTATATCTTCTTGCATATTATTATTACACCTGTGTTTTGATTGCCTCTTCCAGGTCTCCCTTGGACTTCTACACGCTCGCGCAACCCATATACTCTGGCCTCCAGAGCGCTGGCAGAAGTTGCAGCCCAAGCTTCCTCCAGAACGCCAACTTCTCCAGGATGAGGAGGAATGACCGTTTCACATCTGGTGGGAAGCAAGTTATTGACTCTTGAATTAATTGTAGGAAAGGGGCAAGAACAGCCAATAACGGAACTGCCAAATGTGCAGAGTTTCTGCAAGCATATATATATATATATATATATATATATATATATATATATATATTTGCTTTCGTAGATTTTCACGGGTACAGGAATGCAGGTTTTGGTGTCCTCGGGTGTCTTCCCGTGTAAAAGTTGGGGTGTCTAGGCGACGTTTCGACGAGGTCTCACTCGTCATCTTCAGGCTGGTGCTTTCGGCTTCTTGTTACTGGAACAGAGCCTGGTTCAGTAACAAGAAGCCGAAAGCACCAGCCTGAAGATGACGAGTGAGACCTCGTCGAAACGTCGCCTAGACACCCCAACTTTTACACGGGAAGACACCCGAGGACACCAAAACCTGCATATATATATATATATATATACGCATGTCTGTAAATCCAAACAGATTTAATTTAATCACATGAAATGGTGTATCCTTAGTTCTGAAGCAATTGTGTCTTGATTTGAAATTTCAGCTTACTGTCAGCTGTACGGAGCTAGAAATGTTTCATCTATCCCAGTATCACTATAGATGCGAAATGTGTCATTCCCCCCCATTCCATATTTTATTTTTCAGGGGATTTGATATTTTTGTGGGGGGGTGGGGGCATGGTGCCAGATCTTAAAATGAATATGGATTGTGAAAACATGAAGTCAATCATATAGTTCATTGTTACTGCCAAGACAGAATAAATCATTTTAACATTTTGGATTGCAGAAGAGTTGTTTGTATTGAACGAATAGCATTTCTGGTCCCAAAAAGCCTGTTATACAATCTGTCATAAAAATAAATAAAACAAAATGCATTTTTCATGAAATGCTTTTCCTTCTTTGTGTGTTATTGATTTCATGATTAAATTGAACATGCTTTTGTTTAGCATTAATGTTTCATATAAATACTTCCAATATATCCAGTTGCTGATGGGATAAATACATTCTAAATTGAAATACATTGCAGCCATACTGTAACAGTCACTTTAATCAGCAGTTAAGTATAATCGCAACTGATAATTTCTCTGAGAGAGTATGAAGAACTTCTTTAATTCTGTAAATACTTTTTCTGCTACATATAGTAAAACTTTACAATATTATAAATGAAGGAGGATTAAATGATTTTGATTCACAGCTAACATTTACTGTTAGACATCATTTCTGTATTTGATTTACGTAAAATCATCATTATTTCTGCAGATATATTTGCCTAGCTGAAAAGTAGCATGGCATATTTGGAACTTTTGCAGTGCAACCCTGCACATGTCTTCTCACAAGTTAGCCCAACAGAGTTCAATAAGATTTACTCGCAGGTAAGGGTATGTAAGTTTGCAACCTTATTCTCAAAAGGTATGGTTGGATCCAGGCTTGGATTGATTTCATTGGCTCTACTCTTGAGTATGACAATGTTTGGATCCAAACATATGGGGTTGTATCCAATGTTACTCATACTCTGAGTACATCCATTGAAATTCATGGACATGACAAACGCGGGTGGCGCTGTGGGTTAAACCACAGAGCCTAGGACTTGCTGATCAGAAGGTCAGTGGTTCGAATCCCCGCGATGGGGTGAGCTCCCGTTCCTCGGTCCCTGCTCCTGCCAACCTAGCAGTTCGAAAGCACGTCAAAGTGCAAGTAGATCAATAGGTACCGCTCCAGCGGGAAGGTAAACAGCGTTTCCATGCGCTGCTCTGGTTCGCCAGAAGTGGCTTAGTCATGCTGGCCACATGGAGCAGTACGCCGGCTCCCTCGGCCAATAAAGTGAGATGAGCGCTGCAACCCCAGAGTCGGCCATGACTGGACCTAATGGTCAAGGGTCCCTTTACCTTTATGTTTGGATCCAAACATTTGTGGGTTGTATCCAATGTTACTCATACTCTGAGTACATCCATTGAAATTCATGGACATGACAAACTTATGCAAATTAATACCAGTGAGTTTACCCTGAGTAAAACTTAGTTGATACAACCCTATGTAAATTAGGTAAAGTTAGCATTTTTCAAATTATTAGTATGCATATTTACATGCTGACTTATGACAGCACCTTTAAAGTGTGGACCAGTTTATTATTTTTCACTGAGGTTCAGATTACATCCTCTTTATTTAGTAAGTTTATTGCTACTTCACCTTTCTCTTGCAGCTGTAATTCTCAGGGTGGCTTGCAAAAATTAAAACGATCAAAGAAATGCAGGAATCAATGAAACATTAAAACTATTCAGTGTGATGACTTTTTTGTACTGTTTTAGGCCATTTATCTTTTAGAGGATTATTGAACACCTCTCTTTATTCATGTCATATTGTTGATTCCTTGATTTGGGACAACTGTTCAGAGTACTGTTGCTTTAATCCAAGCACTTTAGCTGCAAATACACCCCTTTTTCTGTGCTGAGTCTGCAGTTGTCTCTGTTACCAAGTTGTCCTGGCAGGGTTCACACTGATCTGAAATTTATGTAGATTGAACTGATAATGATCAATTTATTTAAAATCTACTTCAGTAGCTATTGGTCCATCAAGTGCTAATAGAGTTTTGGAAGCATCTGAGTGCATGTACGACATATTTTCTTGTAGTATTCAGTAGCCGCACACATAGTTTACGTCATCTACATGATGTAAAACCCATCATGACCATTGTGTAATTTAAAACTCCTAATTGAAGAGTCTGTCAATGAGAGTCAATGTACAACACCTAGGAAGCAGCTTTCCTTTGAATATCTAAGGTGAATAGGCATGGAATGATGACTTTAACACTGAGAACCCAAACTTGTTGCCATTGAAATCCAGTGCAAAATACTGTGGGTTTGAAACTGACATTGGCCAATACAGTTCATTTGTTCTGCAGTTAGCTCCTAGGGTCATCCAAGAAAAGCAGCCATATTTGGGGTCACTGAGGGCACAGTTGAATAAGTGCTTTTAAGTTTTAGTCCTTCACTACCCTTTTCATACAAAGATCCTCAGAATTCATTCTTAAATATCTGACCCAACCCTGAACTCCTAGCTGTGCTATTAACAAAACATTCTTTGGAGCTTGTGCTACAGTTATGTACCATTATACTGAAAGGAATCATACAGAGGAGCAGAAGGGCATAAAAAGAGTGACCAGTCAATGACACTCACTCTAGCCAGCATTCAGGATTTACCTTTTAAATGGCATTTCATCCTCTGGGCATTTAACCAAGGCTTTCCTGTTACATCCCTCTTTTCTGTACTATGGATGTAAAAAGATTTCCATGGTCTCAGTCCTTTTGCTACCATGGGCAGCAGTCAAACCAATACTAGGAAAACAATAGTCCTAGGAGATCATCATTCCTAATGTACTGGATTTTCCCAGCGTAGTAATCTATAATGCCGGTAAGACTCACTGAAGTTAGCAGCAAGTTGAAACCAATACAATCAATAGATATATTGGTTTTAAATTATTCTCAAAATGTAATTGTTGTTGGCACCTGTTTGTATTGAGAGGCAATGGAGTGCGTCTCTGGGGATGAAGTCAAACCGCTGTGTTAGCAGCACCCAAGTGACTTCCCTGGGGTGCAAGCCTGGGCAGTGTGTATGAAGTTCCTGGGCTGCCTAGGCAACAAGACCACCCACCCTCATCCTTGCTGATGTGGTCCAAAGGAAAGCAGAGCAATACATTTGGCACCAGCTTGGCTACTGCAGTTGCCAGGAGGAGTCGTACAAGGTGCCATCCAACCGTTAGGGATTTGTGTGTAGGGTTAACTCTTTAGCCACCTTCTCCTGAAGGTATCTCACAAGGTAGTGGAGGTTTCCTTCTCCTAGATGGGCTACCTTCCCAGGTGGACAAGCCCCATCTGCCCCTTACTTCTCTTTACTGCTTGTGCAGAAACTGCCTTCTTGACCATTGAACCCACTATTGATCTTTTCCACTCAATCTGCCAGAGCCTATCTTTGCATCTGTCTGACTCAGCGAGGGTTTGAGACCCATTTGCTACCCTCGTGTGGTTTAGCACAGTGTTTCCCAACCTTTTTTGGGCAAAGGCACACTTGTTTGATGAAAAAAATCTCTGAGGCACACCACCATTACAGCCCCGTGACGTCAGCGCGCAGCGTCACTTGAGCTCCTTCTCCTGCTCGTTCAGGGCCGCAGTGGCGTAGCGTGGGTTGTCAGCACCCGGGGCAATGCAAGTAATTTGCGCCCCCTAACCCGTGGATTTGCGCCCCCTAACACTAACCCCCAGATGTTGCGCCCGGTGTGGCCGGCCCCCCCTGCACCCCCCACGCTAGGCCACTGATCCATAGCTAAAAGCAGAAGTTGACAAATGTGTCCTGTTTTTTGCTCTTCAAAATATGGCAACCCGAAGACCCCCAGGGACCGTCCAACCAGCCTAGGAAGTGTGCTCTGGTCGCGGGAGAGGAGACACGAGGCATTGCCATCCACACCTGGAATTGAGGAGGAGCTGGAAAGGTCCTTTGGTTTCACACCCAGGACCCATTTTTTCTCTCTTCTTTTGAGAAAGGGGTGGGAAACGGGATTTGGGGGGGCGCATGTGTGCGCGTAGCTGAGCTCCAGTTGCTCTGGGCATTTCTGGACGGCGCCGGGTAGCGTCTCTCCTAACCCCTCCCCACCCCGGTCTCCACCCCCCCCCGCCCAAAGGCTTCCCCCTACCTGGCCAAGGTTCCACCCAAAGCTGGAGATGCAGTTCGCGGTGCCCACGAAGAGGACGCCGAACTCTGAGAGGACGTGTTCCTTGCGCTCAGCGCAGCGGCGCAGCTAGCCGCTCAGGGGCCGGGGGCGGCGCGCGCGTCCTGCAGCCAGGGGCGAGTGCCATGGGGGCGAGCCATGGCAGGGCGCGCTGCGTGGAGCCTCGCTGCAGCCTCCCCCTCAGCTGTAGGGAGGCTGAGGCGGTGGGCAGAGGCCAGAGCGGAGCTTGCGGGCAGTTCGCCCGCAGACGCATGGCTCAGGCACGCTGCAGGTGCCGAGGTGTGGCGCCCAGTGCCCCCCGCCTCGCCTAGCTACCAGTGGCATAGGAAGGGGTCTGCGGTGGGTGCGGGGCTGAAAGGACAGACAAGGCTCCAGCAACCACCCCCACCGCCAAGTCCGCCGGTCCTGCAATCCCTTGCACGCTGACT